TGCGAAGCCAGGAGACCTGAGAGCTCCCCGGGACCGAGTGTGGAGAGAGACGTCTGTGGAGGGAGCCCAGAGACTGCAATGGCTGGGGCGGGCGGGATGAGCCAGTGTATTCAGAAAGATGTTTTTAAGCAGTGATTTTTTCTTTTTGTATTGTGGCAAGACATATATCATAAAAATTGCCATTTTAACTCTAAGTATGCAACTCACTGGCATTGATGACAGTCACAAGATTGTGTAACCATCACCACTATTTCCAAAACTTTTTCATCACTCCCAACAGAAATTTTGTGCACTTTAAGCAGTAACTCCCCACTGCCTTTTCTCCCCAGCACTGGCCACATCTACTTTGTCTCTGTGGATTTTCCTTTTCTGGACGTTTCGCGTCAATGGCCTCAGACAGTAGGTGGTCTTTCATGTGTGGCTTCTTTCACTCACCATAATGCGTTCAAAGTTTATCCATGACGTAGCACACACTGGCACTCCATTTCCTTTTATGGCCAAATAATAGTCCACTGGATGGATATTTTGTTTAGCCATTCATCTGTTGAACACCTGAGTTGTTTCCGCTTTGGGGCTATTGTGAATAAGGCTGCTGCGAATGAGCAGTGACTCTTGACATGGGTTCGGGGAGGAAATATAAAGTGTGAGCACCTCTTCTTCCCAGAAGCCCTTCAGAATCTTCCAGAGGATACAAGATTTCTCTTGCTCTATAAAAAAGGACTATGGGTTAAACTAAGTTGAGAACTTGGCTTCAAAGCAAATGGAATTAAAAGAAAATGTTCAATGAGAAGAGTTATATCTCAGTTATGCAGGAAACATTGCTAGATATTCCATACTATGTTCAATAGGAACGTGGGGCCTAAATGTGGAGCACGCAGAGGGTGCGCTACGTCCTGTTTATCACCCATCTCTCTGTGGAACGACACATGCTCGGTAAGGGGCAGGGACGGGTCTGTGGTGGGCACGGTGTCCGTCACACAGTAGGTCCTCCGTCAGTCCGTGGAACGCATGATGGGAATTTGACAGATGACAGTCGCTGGAGTGGTGGTGAGGGAAGCAGAGGACCCCCCTCACGGCCTTGTTAAGGCAGGGCTCTTACCTGTGGGCCAGTAACCTAGAGGGCGTCCAGGTGTGTCTGTTTTCACCAACTTCCCACAAGAATCAAGCAGTTCCTTTACTTACGAATGTGGAAACAAGTCCCAGGAGTTTTGGGGTTTTTTTTTTTAAAGCAGTATCTGTGAGTCTATCAACAATAGAAATAGCAGATATTTTCCCACCATGTTGCAGGTTTCTCAAAAGACCACTCGTGCCATCACTAGTTTTAAATCACAGTCTTTACTAGGCCAGCTTCTGCTAGATCTGATCTAATGTGCTATAAGGAGCATGTGTACCACTCTAACAGATTTGGTTTTATCAACTATTTTGATAATTATATTACACTATAATTATTCTATTTTTTAATCCGTGTATTTGTTGGCCTTTTGGGTCTATAGGCATTGGTAAGTGGGCGAGGGGTCCACGGTACAACCAAGGTTAAAAGCTTGCTCCAAGGGCTTGCCTCGTCTCCCCCTCCACAGTCATTCCCGGGACACACACCTTCCTGGTTCCAGGTTCACACCGTCTCCAGGTCATGACTCGGCTGTTAGTGCCGCCTCTGGCCACCAGAGGGCGCTGCTTCCTCCGTGTCAGAGGAAGCCGGGGCCAGTACAGGCTTCCTCCTCCCATCTTTGTTCTGACCTGGGCTGGCATCGCAACCTCCTCGCAGCTTTTTTCTTGTTCTCATTCTCTCTTCTCCCATGTCTCTCTCCCTTTCCCACCCCCCATCCACTATCTCTTGAGAAAAGTTTTTTTTTTTTCTTATGGAAAATTTCAAAATGTACAAAAATACATGAACCCTCAGGGAGCCAGGAGCCAACTTCAACAATGATGGCCTCACGGGCAGTCTTGTTTCATCTACATCCTACCTGGGGGCCTTTCTAAGTGTGCAGGCGCCCAGGCCCCGCCCAAGACGGGGGTCAGGTGGGAGGGTGGGGAATCCGTCTTAGGGCTTACAAAGCTCCCAGGCCATTTGGGAACCAGTTACAATCCTGGTCCCGCCTCCTGGACACTACCCACCCCTACCCCGTGACCCAGTGCGGGTCTCATGCCCTTGGCCTCCGACCCTCGCTTCCCCCCAAGCCTGACGGTCTTTTCCCATCTCTGACCCGAATCCTCCACCTCACACTCATTCCTCTTGCTCAGGCCCTGCAGGCCCCTGTCCTCTGTATGGTCACTCTTCCTGTGTCCATCCGAAAGTCAGTATGAAGTCACCAGCCTCACAGCCTTAAGCAACCTCCCACAGCCACATTCTGTGGCCGCAGGGTCTGACGCTGCCTGTTTCTGTGGATGGAGAACAGACTCCAGTCGGTGATGTCTTGGCTGGAAAGATACCGTTATGCTGTTAAAATCTGATTTGGAAGTGTCCAGAAAAACCCCAGTGATGGGCTGAACTGTGTCTCCCCACTCCCCCAAATCCATGTGCTGAAGTCCTAACCCCCGGGCCTCAGAATGTGACTGAATTAGGAGATAGGATTTTTTTTTGTATATATATATTTTTATTGAAGTATAGCCAGTTTATGGTGCTGTGTCAATTTCTGGTGTGCAGCATAATGTTTCAGTCATACATGAACACACATATATTCGTTCTCATATTCTTTTTCACGACCGTATGTTACTACAAGATATTGAATATAGTTCCCTGTGCTACACAGTATAAACTTGGTGTTTATCTGTTTTATATATATTAGTTAGTATCTGCAAATCTCAAACTCCCGATTCATCCCTCCATCACTCCCTTTCCGCCTTGGTAACCGTTACGTTTGTTTTCTATATCTGTGAGTCTGTCTATAAGTCCATTTATGTCCTTTTTTTAGATTCCACATATGAATGATATCAGACAGTATTTTTCTTTCTTTCTGGCTTACTTCACTTAGTAGACAAAGAAGGCAGACATTCTTGACTTCAGCCTAAAACGGGGAAAAATGTAAAGACTTCGGCTCACGAGTGATCCCAGTGCTGCCTCAGTCCAAGCTCCCGTGAGGGGCCCGAGTTGGCCCTGCCACTGCGTGTGGCATCCCAGGCATCCACGGCCCCACCCCCGCCCACGCCGCCGGGAGCAGAGGGGAGCTGGGCCAGGCGGCCGGGGCGTGGTCCATCCAGTGCGCTTTACAAAGGGACCCTCTCTGAAGCAAGCCCTCTGAGCAGAGGAGAAACGGAACAATTCCCGCAGGAATCCGATTGGGCTGCTGGCTTTGCTCTCCGGCAGTAAGAGGAAGAGCCCTGGCTTCCACTGGAGGAGGGGCCTCTCAGCCGCAGTGTGTCAAGGCCAAGGAAATCTCTCCAAGGGCCTTCTGACTCTCATAAAGCGGTCAGAGTGGAAACAGGCTCCTCTCCCCTCCAGTCTCAGGCAGGACTGAGTCAAGACAGAGCCAAGAAATGGGGTTCTGGTGGGTAGGCACGAGCAGGGGAGCTGCCCTGGGCAGTGGCTGGAAGGGGAGCAGAGGGGACATGCAGAGGCTGGCGGTCACAGCAGGTGCTGTCCTGGGTCTGCATCAAAGGAAACTATCACTTCATGGATGCTGGAGACTTATCTTAGTGGGGTCAGAAGATGCAGCCACTGGCTTATGGCTTCACCTCTGGGACTTGTGTGAATTCCTATAAGCGCCAGGTTGGAGAACAGCGGGACAATCAGTGGGAGAGAGAACCGGTGTAGTCATGGGCCAAAGGCAAAGAACACAAACACCACACCAGCAGCAGAGAGGCAAGGACCCAAGGCTACCGAACAGACTCTGGGGAGGCACAGGCCTGCTGATGGGTTATCCCGGGCTTGCTGGAGGCCGTGGGCAGTCCTCGTGGTCCAAAACCTGGAAAAGCCACCACTGTGTCTTCACTCTCCATCCTCTAGTGGCTTGGGTCCAGTTCCTGTTGCCATGGCATCCAGCTGGCGTCACAGTTCACCAGACCCAAGGTTGGCATCTGTAGGTGGAGCTGGTGGGAGCCAGAGAACTGAACTCTGGTCTCAGACGAGCTCCTTGGAGGAGCCCTTCTCAGCCACCAGAGCAGAAAACACCACCAGCTTCTCACTGCCATCAGCATTCCGGGCCTGGCTTCCGCTGAAAAGGAAACCTCTCCCCAAGGCAGACGTATCTTCTAAGGCCCACGCAGGCACATTCTCCAAAGCATATGACTGCATTTGAAATTCGTCTCATGCGGGGAAAGAGAAAGAGTGGAGGGTGTTCATGTTCAAGTCACTGGGCAAAGAGGGTCCACAGGGTAGTGATACCGTCCCAGCCCATCTCCAAGGACAAGAGCCAGTGGTTAAGACACCTGGAGCCAGACGGCTTGGACCCCGGTTCCGTCAACTGCACCCTTCATTACTTTTGCTCTTTGTATTTCTGTTTTCGTCTCTGTAAGATGGGGATAACAGCAGACTCTTGTTCCTGGGAGAATATGTTTAGGATGCTTGGGACAGGGCTTCGCACATAGTGAGTGCTCCGTTAAACACTGGCCGTCATCATTCCTACCTGCAAACTTCTCCCAGCCAGGAACCCCCCATGGCCCGGCCTGTGCGCGGTCTCCCTCCAGCATCCGTGAGCAGGCCGGTTCCAGGGGCCCGGAGCTTGCCCCCCGCCGCAGCCCTCGCCAGCTGACACGGCGGGGCAGAGCCTCCACCGCCCTGCCCGGTGCCCCACGCTGGCTCGCGTCTCCTGCCCGCTTCTTCCCTCTTGGGCCCCATAACGTGCAGCACTTCTAGGGCAGTATACTTGCTGATTGCTTCCTTCACTATTACTCACAACAACCAGCTAAGACACTGCCAAAGAAACACTCACAGCCGGCCCTGCCGATGACTCAGGGGCAGGCCTGCCCCGCCTCGCCCTAGGACCTGTGGAGAAGAAGGAAATGTGGGGAGGAAAGAGAGGACGGAGGAGAAAGCTGAGGCCGGCAACAGATCCCAGTAGGGCTGGCCACTGACCTGGAGGGAAAAACAAGTCAGCCCTTTCCTGGAAGAGAAAAAGAAAATGACAGTAGTTGAAAACCTGCGTGTCTACATGAAAAGGAAGCCACAGCATAAAGCTGCACAGAGTGTTGCCCCGTCCCGGGTACCATTTAGGGTGCGTATCTGAGTTCTGCCACGGGAGACGTGGGTCGCGAGCTCGATGTCAAGGAACGGGCTCTCGGACTGCGGGGGCTGAAATCTGCAGGGCAGCCCGGGAGGCTGGAGACTCTTGGGCAGCAGCCGACGCTGCCGCCCACGTAGGGACTTTCTTCTTCCTCAGAAGCCCCAGCTCTGCTCTTAAGACCTTCGATGGACTGGATGAGAACCCCTCAACCCCCACATTCTCGAGAATAATCTTCACTCAGAGTCAACTGATGGTAGATGTTGCCCCATCTGCAAAATACCTTCACATCAGCACCTAGATTAGTGTTTGGCTGAGGTTCTGGGTACCACAGCCTGGCCACGTGAGCACCTCAAACTGACCATCACACCGAGGCGGCCTGAAGCTCTCGTGACTAACTGCTTTGGATGCAGACCATCCAGGGGACTGCTCCTCTTTCGTGGGGACCTGCAGGAGTGTTCTCAGTGTGACTTCTACCCCAGCATGGGAGGTCCTGGAAACCTGTGTTCCAGGCAAGGTGGTACAGATCAAAGCAGCTCACAAGCCAGTACCAACTCCCTGCTGAGGAGAAACCCCTCCGAGGGCCTCCCCCTCACACAGTGGGACAGCAGGAGGCAGGGCACAGGCTTGTCCAGGGGGTGCTATGGGGGTGCCCTCCTATCTTACTCCTCTGCTCCCAAACAGGTGAATGCATGCTCTGTCTAAAAAGCAAGCCAGGCCAGACCTTAATTATTATCTTTCAGAGCAGAAAAAAAAAATGCCCCAGTTTTACCCCAAAGGTCAGTTCTGGCAGAGCCTGTTCATCAGCTTGGAGCACCGGCTCTCAGCTCTCCTCTGTGTTAAGAGTCGCCTGGGAGCTTGGTGACAGAGCAGATTCCCAGCTGCACAGCAGAGCTTCTGACCCAGCAGGTCCGCGAAGGAGCCAAAGGCACTTTCTTCTGCCGTGACCGTGTCCTCAAGTGAGCGCAGGGACAAGCAGGAGCCCAAGTAAAGCCCCCCCCCCCGGACTCCCAGCCCAGGCAGGGGACCCGGAAGGCCGAAAGCAGAGGCAGGCTTCCCAGCGTAAAGACAGCTTCGCGGAAATGAAGCAACAGTGGCCCTCTCGGTCTCTGTGGGTGCCCTCCGGCTGCGGGCCCGCACGTGGCATTGCTGCTGCGGATGGTGGGAGGGCCCGCGTGTTTCACACGCCCTGAACCCCAGCCGCGTAACGAGCAGGCATAAAAGAGTCTGGGAAGGGTGAAGATAAGGGGCCGGCCAAGTTCTGACCCAGTCTAGAAAGAAAGATGGCTCAGAAAAGCAAGAGAGGGGCCTGGAGGCATCGAAGCCAAACCAGAAGCACCTTCCACTGCTAAGCAGCCCCTGTCCCTGATTTCCATAAAGAGCCGCATTTTCTGAATCTAGGCAGTCACCTGGATGGAGCTGTCTGCCCACAGAGGGCCAGGGCTCAGCGGGCACCAGGGTGGGTCGGCCAGGGCCCTGAGATGGAAAGACAATGTCTGCGGTCAGCGAGAGGAGGCTAGGACTTTAGGCAAGGGTGAATAATCTGTCAACACACAAAATTTGACTGTGTTCCATGAAATACAAAACACAAGAAGTCAGCAGTCTTTCACCAAATCAGATTTTCCTGGAAGTCACAACCCGAGGTCAGAGTGAACATACTTAAATGTACTTTCCTTTCTCCTGAAAGGCGTTGGGTCCAGTTACCAGGCAAGCTTCTGCTGCACAAGATGTTTAAAAGGCCCAGAGCTCAGTTCAGGACCCTGCTGGTGCCTTCACGTCGCTTCTCCTTACAGAGGCCCTCCTGAGCCCCAGGCCCAGTACGTCTTGCTGCAGAACCAGAAGGAATGCAAGAAAACTGGGTCATCTTCATCAAGGGCGTTTTAAGGTACTAACACCTAAAAGTTTTAAGCACTAAACAAAAAGTGGATTCTGGTAACAAGGCTCTTGGATGTTACGATTCCTGGGAAAGTAGGATCCCTCTCCATCCATGGAGATGTGGAAATTCACCCAGGAAGCCTTCCTAATTCCACAGAGCATCTTTCACATCCCCTCCATGCACCCATCGCATGCCGACTGGAGCACCTGTGATGTACGGGGCGTTAAGGACAAGACGGGGAGGATGGCAGACATCTCGGGCCTTTGGGGATCGATGGAGACAGACAGCCAAGCAGGAAATAACAGGCATGCAAAATCACACCTGTGAGCAGTTCTGAACCACAGGAACAAGTGCTTCTGATGTGCCCGTCCTGCGGGAAGAGGCATTGTACTCAGAACGAGTCACGGTTTTGCGTCACACACTGCTTGCTAGGCTTTCAAAGAAATTTTGGGTGTTTAATATCTGCCCAGAGTGTCCTCTTGCGTTTCACAGTGACGTTAAAAGTGGGCAGGAGTTTTTCTGTCCCTGCATTGATCTCACCCAGAAAACCTGACCCAGTGGCAAGAAGGTGATGGTGGCTCAGAGGAGATTCAGAGATCCACCCAGCTCTGCAGGTGACTTCTGCCCAGGTTCGAGCCGGGACAGAGAGGAACAAGCCTAAAGAGTGGGAGTCTCAGGGATGGGAGAAAAAAAAGACCAACTTGGATGTTTTCAGCCTCAAAAATTCCTGTCAGGTCCATGTCTTTTGGAACCAGCTTTCCCACTGTGTTCCATGTGTTCCACCCTATTTCCCCCAAGTTTCAGGAGCTGCCCACGCCTGCCTTGGAGAAAAGAGAAAACTCCAGCAAGTCTCTGGGAGGTGATGTTAGTGCAGGCCTGCCCCTTGCAAACCGCAGTGTTGCAAGTAAATGGCAGGTGCACTGTTGGCTCTGGGGAGCTTCCAGCCAGAACCCCATTGCCGCTGCCCTTTGCAGAGCCAGGGACGTGTTCATCTAACACCTCTTAATATTTAGAACTCTTACTGTCTCCTATTCGCATTCTTAGGGATGGAGTCTTGAGAAGCCAACTCTGGGTGGTAGCTGGTTGATCAAGACGGAAAAAAGCTCAAACTTTTAAAAACCACCAGCCCAGATGCTTAAGGAAGAGGGCCACCTGGGAGGTAAAAGGCTAAGGATGGACACCACGATTGTCTAAAACTGCCCTTGCATTCAGAATTGAGTATATGGGGAGAGAAATAGCTCAGTGGTAGAGCACACGTGGTCCTGGGTTCAATCTTCAGTACCTCCATTGAAAAAAAATAAAGGATAAGTATAAAAAAATACATTTTAGGAGCAAGAGTTGTTGTAGTACCCCCTAAATCAGTTAGAAATCTGAATAAATGTAAATTTGCAATGTAGCAGCTACTGCCCCAGATCCATGCCCTCTCTTGCTCGCAGGTCTTGATTTGGTTTGGGTAATCCACCCTCCTCTC